TTGTGAAAAGTGATTACATATGGTTAGAAGATATATAGTTACATTCGAAACACGGGAGTAGAACTCTAGACTAATTAAACTAACCTCGAGGAATTATCAGCTTTTCTTTCCTATCTAGAGCATTTTTTAAAATTCTTGAATCAGATGTTGTTCCCTCCCATCCAGTTAAAACATACGTAAACTTTATGTCAAAGTCACAAGCTAGCTAATACATTTTGTATTGGCCAATCTTTTCGACCTCGATATCCGATTGCAATATCATTTAGTACCTTAACACGAATATGTATTCCATCTATTGCCCCAATACAATCCCGTATAAATTTATATGTAAAAATGATTTCATATATCATATAATTGTTAAATAAATAAATAACTTAGAAAAGTTGCTTAAGTAAAATAGAACGAAGGTTTCTTACCTTGAAAAAAAGAAAAAATCTACTACTATTTCTAATCTGTTGTGGAACCTATGAACCAAGTGGTTGTTTAAGTAGTTCACTTTCAAAGGAAATCACTCGCTCACAACACATTATGAAAATGTCGACTAATAGTTTCACCCGACCGATGAAAATAAAATACGAGCTCTCAATTTTTCCAATTGTGACCTAAAATGTGGAGGAACTTAGCAACTTGCTCCTCTATAGTTGCTCGCCTATAGTCCTTCAAATGACCACTTCCTCTCAACATCCGACATAAGCGGAAGAAAGCTTCGAGGACTCATTCGTACAATATCTCGACAGGACGTCTCACTTGAAGTTAACCTATTTACTAATTCTTGACGTGAAGATCTCTTGCAAGCACTTCCTTTGGGTATAGGTTTACGAACTACAAATGCTTCGAGCATTAATTAGGTGTAATGCATGCACAAGATGACAAATTAGTCGTAGAACGGCCATTCGGCGTCTTTTTTCTCAATTCTCCATGATCCTTCGATGTCGTTCTTGACATTCCTTAATTTTTTTCGAATGTTTTGCAACTTTCTCGAGACCGAAAGAACACCACCATTTGATTGCAACAAGTTCTCATTCGAGTGTATTACATCTTTATTCTTCATCATGCATGTTCTCAATGGCATTCATTTCCATCTATATTAAATACAAAATATTGTAATATTACTATCTAAACTAATGGCATAAAAACATAAACTCGCTCGAAAGTCAAGAGTGCACATATGTAGCATTACATAATATAGAAACACAGATCAAATGATATATGTTGATAGATTTCAAATACAAATATAGTTTTATAATAGCCAAAGATATAAAAAACTTACCTCTCTTAATTGTAGAAGATATGGCTTATCATGAATCAAAACCAGCTTGACAACCCTCTACTCGTTATTCTCCTATCTAGAATTGAATGTCCATAAAACCAAATGAGTCAACATTTCAAATGAATTTTAAAAGACTGATCCAAAGCAATCTATATTACATCAAATTCATATTTTCAAAAATAAACGAGACAAATTGATTACAGACTAAAATAGCAACCCAAACCATGAACCATCAAACAAAAACAATATATATATATATATATATATATATATATATATATATATATATATATACTTGGCCGACTAATACCATAAAAAAAAAAAAAGCATAATGCAAGAACCCTCTAGTATTTGAAGATGTTATTTGATCGAAAAGATACTTAATGACATAACGAGTAGTAGCTAGTGTTGGAGCTACCTAGTGTTTTGATACATATTTGCGTGGGGCTAGCATTTAACAAGAATTGAAAGGGGATAGTCCAAGCTTCCATTTTACAATAATTACATTTCATATTCTCTCTTTCAAAAAACATCAATTACATGTTGAGGACAAAATTATCAAGTTTTTTTTTTCATTTTTGATGGAACAAAAATAAATGAAGGTGCACATGTGAGACATTGTCAATATATATTAATATCAACGGGTTCAGTTGATGATTATCCTTTTTAGTAATTTGAGTGGGATGTCAAAAAGTATCGCTAAGTTTATTAATTAAATGGTTATTTATATAACTTTTTTAAAATAATTAATAATATATTTTTCATCAATTATCACAAAAATTGATAAGAATACTAATTTAATTAATGAATTTATGTGTATCCCATATCAAATACTATAACTCGTTTAAGTTGCAAAAATTCCATGTACTCGCTAGAACATGCAAATCAAATAAAATGATAATTCCGAATCATGTTTCTTGATAACAATATGAAATTTCAACAAGCAAGTTACCATATCTAAGTGACACCCATCCAAATAAGCATGTACAACCAAAAACATTATGTTGTTGTAATTGCCGATTTCTATATTTTTCAAGAATGGCTTCCCTTCGCTTTCTACTCTCCTACTTTATTCTATTAAGATCTTCCTCCTCCTATTTAGCTAATTTCAATGCAATCCTTTCTTCAAAATTATCTTGTTCATCTTCATCTCCGAAACCACATATAAAAAACCGAAAAGTTAGGTCAAAAAACATGCCGACTCGATATATATTTTGGTGAAGTTAAAAGAAGTTTTGAATTGAAGTAAGCATTTCCATGGAGAGAGCTTGAAAGTAAACTCTTGCTTTGATCGTTTAATTGTACATTAAGTCAATATGTGTTCTAACAATATAAACAGGACAAGTAATGAAACATAGCCTCCCCGGAGAACCTCAATTAACAAGTATTATACACATATTTTTTATGTTTTTGAAGGGTATGGTTCCAAATACGATTGCAAGTGTTGAGATTATGCTCGAAAGATGGAGAAACAATGAAGGCAAGGAGATTGACGCATTCCAAGAATTCAAGGTTTTGACATCGAAGTAATATCCAGGACGACTTTTGGAAGTAGCTACTTGGAATGGCAAGCATATATTCAATATGATAATGAACATGATTCTCATTATTTACGTAAACAACTACGGAATCAGCATTCCTTTCATTGGGTAAGCTGCATTTCCTCCTCCATTTTAGCAAGTTTTGCATCCGGAGAACTAATCTTCAAACACCTCATGCCCTCATCTTCCTAGAAAGCAGTACGCACATATATGACGGACATGTGCAATGAACCGTGATCGGACATTAATTAATACATGGGTATTTGTTGCAGAGAGCATTCATTAATCGACCTAAATTCCACTCTTGTTGTCTTCATTTCTCGAGCTACCAATTTTTTACATCTACATTGTTCTAATTTTGTGCATGCATATGGCATTTCCGTTATCGCAAAAAATTTTGCTAACAAAAGCTCGTGCCCAAATCATAATAGGTTCCAAAAATGAATTGAAAATATGTTATTATCCGTAAATATTAACAACAACAACAATAATGAATTTGCACACTTTGATTCTTCCAAACCAAATAACGCTAGCAAATACCTTAGCTTAGTTCTCTGTCTTCACATTCTTACAAAAAAGCCATTTCCAAGCAAATGCGGACAATGTGATCGGCACTTGGAACCCTTTGCTGAGCGAAAGATTGGAAACTACAAGGGAACAACTAGACACTTTGAACGGACGTCAAATCCAGATCGGAACCTCGGTGCTTGCTTTCACAAAAGATCGACTTCGGTGTTGCTTGGTGAGTGATAAGGAATCCGCAATTGATGAGATTATTGGTTAGCTTTCCTTCAATCTAGGCGAGAAACGTTGTTTTCTCGTTTGGAAATGAAGGGCAACTCTCCTCTCGCCCTCACACATTATAGATCAAACATAACCCATCAATTGAATGACAAAGAACAAAATCAAATAAAACATTACCCGCCCCTACCGACGCTACAAACTTTGGAGGAGCCGCGAATAGGTGTAACCTTCGCCGCTCGAAAACACCTGTGGAGACGCCGTCGGATGAACTAGGGAGGAAAGAAAATTTGTTATGTGAATGGATCATCAATCAATTTGTTCGATAACTTCATTTTTGCGGATCCGTTATTAATGAGAAAGGATGCACGAGGAAGAGATGATGACAGAGAAACGACTTTAGCGAGAGAGAGAGATGGGGTTTGCAGAGACAAGATGATGGGTCGTTGGTAACGGTTTCGGCGAGAAAGAATGTGTGTGTTTGCAAAGACGAGATGGGCAGAGAAACGACTTCGGCGAGAGAGAGAGATGGGGTTTACGAGAGACAAGATGATGGGCCGTTGGTAACCGCTTCGGCGAGAGAGAGTGTGTGTTTGCGAGAGAGATGGGTAGAGAAACGAAGGGAACGACGAGCAAGGGCGAAACTGAAAAAAACAAAAAAAATACATCCCTCCCGTTTCCTCCCAATTTTCGAAGGAAAATGGATCCCACCATTTTTGCATTGTTTTTTTTTTTTTCCATTCCACTGCTTTCCTCCCTCTTCCCAAACGGCAGAAACATTTCTTTTCACCCCCCTTTCTTTTCCTCTCTCCCACTTTCCACCCTATCCAAACAAGGGGTAAGTTCTATAACAATAGTTCTAGAATCCAAACCATCACACACCAAGAATCAGATAGAATCAAGAAAAAGAAAAACGCTTGCACAGTATGCAGCTGATGACTCAAACCAGCGTTACTCAACAAATGGCAGAAACAGTTTTTGAAGGTAAAATTCCAATTCCGGTGGCATCTACTATAAGGACAACGCTGTTTTTTTCAAATAATAACAATAATAAGTTACAAAGTTGTATCATTGCCTTCGTAATAGCTGCTTGCATGACAATGTTAACGAAGATGAAGTATACAAGATAGGTTTGGTTTGAGGTTTATGTATTCTCAATTTGATAACAAATAGATGTCGCATAAAGTTGGAGGGCCAAGTTTACAAACCTCGTCTTCCTGAGAAACAAATGCAGACACGAAGCACTGTGCACAAGCATAGCCACATACAATGACGTTGGGTAATAAATAGACCTCAGTTTCTGATTATAAGTGACACCAAAGTGTAAGTTGGCATTTACAAAATCTGTCTTAATCAAGTTCCGTCACATGGTCCAAAACTGAAGAAGTTTCCATGCAACATTCTAGCAGATCAGAGCCAGATCACCCATGAATTATGCAGGCTTCCAATCACATTCCCCAAACACCACGAGCTGCTGTGAATTTGTTACTCGGTCTGGATGTCAATTCATACAATATCCTGGCAAATGTATCCGAATATCTTGTATCTGAGAAGAGAATCTCAGCAAATGCATTCTCGTAAGCCAATAGCAAGGCCTTGTTCTGTGGCTCAGAGACCAGACTCTCCAATATCATCGCGGCTTTCCGACAAACTTCTGGTACAGGATGCGGCGCCCTAATCACTCTAAGCAATCGATCAACTGCCCTGAATTTAATAAATTGTACACCAAAATGTTATGTCTCCAGCAAATCTATCAACCAAATTTCTTGTGATGGTATTTTTTCTTTGTTATTATTCGTAATATATGAAAGAAAAAAAATACCATCTCTCACTAGCAAGCTTCAATCTGCAGTCCATATTAACTTCCGCAAGGTTATAAAGAGCGCCAACAGCAGCTGCTTGGGCATCAATTGCAGGTGAACTCATAAGATCTACTAATCGCTTGTGTATCTACAATGATCATTTGGCCCTCATCATGAATTTATGCAGAGAATATATAACAATATTCATCAACAGAGAAATATCAACCTGTGGGAAAAATGGAAGAAGGAAAGGTTCATTGTCAGGATTTATGATCAAACGCCCTAGTAATTCAGCAGCTGCACAGTGCCAGGCTTTAACTGCAGATCCCAGCATCCCCATGATTGCTTGCACTGCACGTTTCTCTCTGCTCGATAATGTAATTAACAATCTTATCAAGTGTGAGTGAGAATAAAAAATTTAATCTTTGAAGCAACAATAAATAAGATTCCTCACGTTATTTTAATGTAAGATGGCTTTGATGAGCTAAAAATTCGGAGATCAAGCAGCGGGGCCAAATTTACAATTGTCTCGAGGGCATTCGTTACAAGTTCCTCATCCTCTGTCATTGTGAAGAACTTTTAGCAGCATTTAAGATGGTGTGAAAATAAACATCTGATTTCTGCACCAGTATTATATGGTGCGAGTAAGAAAAGAAAGCTAGCCTATTGCAAATCCTCAACATATATGAAAGCCGTTATACAAACATGAGTGCACAAAGAATTACAAACATACAACAATTTATGAGCTCCATATAAGGAACTACAATTAAAGTGTCAATGACAAAACCAAGCAAGCAAGCAAAGAGAAGCTACAAAACTTAAATTACTTCCACTGTAGCAATAAAATTATTGACAAAGAAAAACAGAGAGAAATAAAAAGGGAGTGACTGGTTGAGGAAAGAGCAAAGCGAGTTGCTAGGGGGAATGACGGAATCACAGATAATTTGCAATTTGACTATATATGATCTCTGCTGATATCCTCTCCTTTAACATACAGCAAATCATATGTTATTTCATGAGGATAAAAGCAAATTAATGTGTTACTACAGGCTGTGATTATGCTAAATGAGTTTATATATATATAAACCATTGTTTTCTGAGATCGGAATCCTAAACTGATAATGGTGTGACCGAATCAAATAACGATCACCTTAAATGGTAATTTGAGCCTTTGATATGTTAGGATAATAACCTACTTAACTACTCAGAGGTCTCATCTCATCATCTTGCCAGATAATTCAATGGATTATTTAAACTATAAGGCAACTATGAGCAATCAGAACAAGTGACGTCCTTCCTTTTGCTTTGGAATACAGCTTTTCTTATTACTGTTTAGACTTGTATGAAAATTAATTGATGGAACCATAAGTGCCAAGGGAGCATTGCAACTCTAAATAATTAAGATGAGTCTGGTAAATCATAGTAAGGTACCTCAAAGATAACCTATCCATGATGATGATTAACAAATTCCACAGAGGACCCCCAATATCATCAGATTTAGTGAGACTGGTTCTATATCTGCCCCAACTTCCCAAGGCCACAAAATGATGATCGTTAAGGACCTTAACCATAGAGAACTTCACCAGCCACTCCATAACCTAGTCCTATCAACATTCCCAACTATTAATGCTGCATCGACCCTCTTTCTTCTAAATGCTACATCAGCACAGGATCCTTTAGAGACCTAATAGACCTTTCCCTCATTTAGTAGTGGTGGTATCCTATATATATTCCATTTTCCCCTAAACTTTCACAGCCAAATATCAAAGAAATAAGGGACAGGGCAAACAATTTTATATACTTGAGATATTTCAGGAATATAATTTCAGTGACACAACTCCCTTCGCATCCAAACTAGAAGGCTAACTTTTAGCTATCAATAGCACTTTCTTTTCTGCCTTCAGGAAATGTCTAATCACAGCTAAATCAAAATCCAAAATTCTCTTGTATTATTAAAACATGTAGGACAATGGCATTATACCAACATGAAAATAAGACAAACACAAGAATAGTGAAAATGCAAATGACTTTGCTCATCAAACAAAGATCAAATGTACTTTAAACCTTTTAAGGATCGTACGATTGAATATACAAGCTCAGCATCCTCTGTAAAATCTTTGAAATCATAATTGGTGCAAATACCTTTCTAAACATCTTACTATTTACATCACCAAAAATAAGTTCAATTTCATAGGCTGTACTTGTGTATTGTGAAGCATTTTATCAAAACAACCTTTTTTCTCTTGCTGCAAGCAAGGGACAGAAGGAAGACAGAAGAGTTAAAAAATCAGTCTAGCATGGCAACAATCAGCATTTATCAGACCACCTTTGATGATTCACCTTGAATCAATATGCTAAAATTCCAGGTGGTGCTTTATTTGCATTGTTTCACTTTCCCCATCCAATTTGTTGGGCTTTAATGATATCTTAAACTCATAACGGATATTTTCTTTGTTTAGTTAACTCACATCAGAAAAATCACTCCATAATAAAATTCAACGATGCAAAACCAAAAGATTGCCAGCCCTAATATCATAAAACAGAATCAATAGACGTAAACTAACTTAAAAAAAATTCTAAAGCTCCTCTTTTTGGTATGTCAAAGTGGATATACATGCAGATTCCTCTGGCTCTACTCTCCAGGGACATTTGCTGACTCAGCCCTAAATATCATAATTGGTGCAAATGCCTGTGCACAATGCACGTGACATGTAAAGGAGACATGGGTGTGTCTCTTTTCATTCAGGGGTCATGAACCTAAAATTTCATGTGTGCCTTAACAACCATGGGCCCTTATCTTTATTGTAGGTTTTGGAGAAAGGTGAAATAAAATAATAACATTTGAGAAGAAATGCAAAACTAAAATTAAAAAAAGAAAATAGAAGCATGAAAAATAATTCATGTCCATATCAACTTCCAAATTCTAGAGCATATAATTAAATCTTCAGTTTTCACATTCCTATGAACAATTACATGTCCGTCAAGTTTTCTGCCCTCAAAGATAGCTCAAAAGCTCAAGGATGTCCATGAGGCTTCTCATCAATCTGAGCATGAATTTAATGACGCAAAACAATCTAAACGTTAGTTTCTTGATCTCTATCATATTCTGCAGACTGTTGCTAGATATAGTCCACACAATCTTTATTCGCAACTGGCCATAAGATGTCTCAAATTATTTCAAAGAAACAACTGTAAACTTTCCCAAAAAATTTGACAAGAGTAAATAACATCAAAGAGGATAATAATATTCAATTTAGAAGATAAATAACAGAAATAGCATTTTGCTTTTACGAACTCCTCACCAGTACTGTGATCCTCTATACACTGGAACACTGTTTCCAAGCAATGCCGATTTCCAGCCATAATAACTTCATTCTCAGGCATGAAAGAAAAATTGCGTATGATATTCGAAGCAGCCACAGCACACTGCTGCTTCTCTGCCCTCCCTTCATCATCCAAATTAAACAAACCATCTTCATCACACCACCACTCCGAAGGACGAACTTTGGCTGCATTCTTCTGCACTGAAGCATCCGTCAATCTGCCACAAAGACATCTTCCACAATCACATCCCACTTTTGGAAAGAACAAATTTCACCAAAACCCTACTTACCCAGATTGCTTGACACCATCATTTGATCCTAATGCCTCATACTCGTTACCAAATCCTGTAGCGAAGGAATTAGCACCTAATGCTCTAACCCTACGTGTCTTCTGGAGTTCTTTAGGAAGCGCAATATCCCGCCAATCATCTATCTGTTTTGTTTTTAAACATCATCATTAGCACCAAATTGCTAAAAATAAAACCATACACCTAAATAGCTTACATTCAATCAAGTCTTAAACTTTTATTAAACTATTAATAAAATAAGTCAACAAACCCTAAGATTTTTAAAAGAGTGAGTAAAGAGAGATGCATACAACTTGAAGAAGAGCATCAAGCAAGCCAGATATTTTAGCGAGAGAGTCTTTGCGCATGTCTTCTTTTTCTTTGAAAGAAAGCAATGTGAGAGTGTTGAGTGCCCATGTTAACTCGCTCTTTAATCCACTTTGAAGTGCCAATACTATTCTCTTGTTATTCTGATCTGAAGCTAACAAATTAATCAAAAAAGAAAAAAAAACACAGCAATGTTAATTTTAACACGCAAAAGAGTTACGGTTTTCTTTTTTCTTTGGTTTTGGTAAACTGACCGGCGAATGAGGTGTGAACTTGAAGTGAAGGACCAAGGAGAGTGGACGGTGCTGCAGAATCTGCAGCAGATGAGGCGGCGGCACTGCCGCTTGTGCTGCCGAAGGGGCGCCCTCTCTTAGGCGCTGGGGCTGTTGAGCCGCCCCCCGATCCACCGGACTTGTTCTGGTCCCGCTTCTGCATTATTTTGGGTCTCTATCGGTCTTGTTTGGCTATTGTGATTTTGCTGGCGACTTCGGGATCTATTTTTCTATGGGCAGACGGGCAGGGAGTGTTGTGACCCGTTTCGATTTTATTATTAAGGCTTGGGCTTTTACTTATGCTGGATCTTCAGACATGCGGCCTAGGTAAATGGGTTTTTGAGATTTGCAACTTAATGGGTTTGTTTGGCGCTGCTTCTATAGTTTTTACTTTCTTTGTTTCAAAAGCAAAACAATCAGAAATATTAAATAATTGTTCGATAAGAGTTTTAATATTTTATTGTTTAGATTTTAGAAATAGAAGGTGATTCTATTTAAAAAAACATGTTTGACTCCTGTTGTAACTTGTTAGAGACTATTATAAAATGTATTATGGAGCATTATTTGTCAGCCTAAGCTTTTAGATGAGATGGTCGAGTTCAAGTCTTACCATCTCTAATTTCTCAAGTATTAAGCATAAGACAATATATATCTGTACAAGTTTCAAGCTCAAATGTTAGGTCTTTCACTTGAGATAGTGTGTTAGAGACTACTATAAATTGTATTCCGAGACCTCATCTATCAACTTAAGCTTTTAGATGAGATGGTCTTTTAATACTCGTTTAAATTTTAGAAATAGATGGTGATTCCATTTAAAAAAAAAAAAAAAAAACATGTTTGACTCTTGTTGGAACTTTCTTATTGTATTGCATTGTATTTGTGGCTGGTTTGATGTACTGTGAGATTAATGTATTAAATTGTTCGATTATAAATTGTATTATATTGGACTAAAATCACTTAATTATTTAGTGATCTATTATTACACTATTTGAACTAAAATTGTTATTGTTATTATTATTATTATTAAAGACGTAACTTGAATTCTTTGATTGATGAAAAGAAATCTTTTAAATAATTTAAGGAAAAAAAAACAAAAACAAAAACAAAACTTTACATAATTTTTTTTAAATAAATAAAAATACTGTACAATCTAATTAAAATCCATATATCTACATTTCATTAAGGATTGTTTTTTAAAGATTGACATATACTTGTCTTTTAAACGAGGCAAGCAATCTCACATTTTAAAGAATATCACTTCTCATGTTTTTTTTAAAAAAAAAATAGAAAATAATATTTTTATTTTGATCGCTTCGTACAAACTTGCACTATATATTTGATCCATGGTGAATTGACCTAAGCGACTTTTTGGGCTGATGGAATATGATTATTTTAGGTGCAAACGCAGTTGTGAAAAGGGTTCTTCGGGTAGGATGTTTGTTTGCTCTTCAGGTAGATCAGGTGGGGGAGCATGGAGGGTACATTTCGATTTTGGAATTCAGTAATCTACTCTTTCCGAATAATTAGGCTGGGCTTGATTCTCTGTACTGGACTACGAACCAAAAAAAGTAGTTGGAAAAAATTTTACAGGCCTGGTTGACAGCCCGCATGGTGATGGGAAGTGAATACGTTCAAAACTTCAAATCATCCATTCTTCTGTCACGCTTCCTTTGCAGCTTTGCTGGTATCACAGGAACATTCAGGGATACGTTTTTGTTTATAGTGAGGTTCATCTTATTTTGTCACTACCAAATATAATTTATGAAGATGGATAGAAATATGAATTTGGAATAAAGATTTCCTCTAGTTACTAATGAGAATGGCAAGTACTGTCGTGTACACAAGTTGCAGGAAGCATTAATTGCACGTTAGAACTGCCAGCACAAAATGATCAGTTGTGGGTTGATTTAGAGTCTCCTTGAATTTTTCTTTCTTTTTGTTTATTTGTTCAAAGATTATAGTAGCCTTTGTTTTGTTGCCTTGAAACTTCGATATTTCGTCACTTTTTCCTCGACAGCAGAGGCATGAAATTGGTGAATTGGACATTAAAGTGACAGCAGGTTTTTTAAACAATAAGTAGAGGTGGTTCGTTGATATACTGGATTCTAGCTAAAATATAGTTGCTAGTGGGGTCGACCGATTTTATGATCTTTTCGTATCAGCGCTGATTTACCTGCAAGAAAGGGCAATACTCAATCAAGCAGTGATAAAAGATCATCACTGTCATTATCATGCTTCAGATCGCTAATGACAATTTCCAACCCACATTAGCCAGCGGATATTTAACTTTTCTTAAGAGTGTTTTTTTATTATTATTGAAAATACTAATTTGTTGTCAGCATTATGTAACGACACGGACAAGATAAGTAAATTATTTAAAAATTTTATTTTAATTTGATTGCATATGATATATTATGAGTTTACTAAAATATATTAAATTAAAAAAATATACTTTTCACTTAATTTATAATTTTTTAATCAAATTTTTATATTTAATTAATTCTTTCTTATATTTTTCATAAATTTTTTACTTAGAAAATATGATATGATCTTCTTTATGCATAGATTTTTAAATAAATTTTGTAATAATTTAAAAAAATGTAATCATAAATAAAAAAATACCTTAATATTTTTTCATAAGATTTCATAAAAAAAATAAAACAACAATTAATGCAAAAACTTATATAAAATTAAAAAATGAAATAGTAAGTTTTATTCTTATATAATATTGATGAGAATATTATTTTTTAAAAGCATGTACATTATGTTTATATATATTTATTCACAAAAATAATCAATAATATTAGTATAAAAAACTCTATTTGAAGATTATGTTATCACTAGATGTGTTTTTCTAAAACATTGATTTAATATTTTATTTAAGAGAAGTTGATTTCAGAATATCCAAAAATTAAATAAATAAATACTAAATGATTGGTGTTATATGTGTGCATATATATACATACACATCATGACTATACTGAATGATTCTAGAATCTACAATATAAATTAAAAAATGTTAAAAAATACTTAACTTTTAAGAAATATATTGAATAAATTTGAAGTTAATGCATTGAAATAAAAACTACTAAAAATTGATTTGGATAAATTTTTTATATAAAGAAGAAGTAAATAAAAAAATGTGAATTTCATTCTTTTTCTCTTCTTCAAAATATTTTTCTTTCTAAACCATATATAAATTGTTCTTGTGCACATTCCTCCCACGAAAAGCAATCATTTTTCCTTTTTCTTTCTTTTTTTACTTTTTACTTTTCACTTTTAATTATTAATTAATTTTTTTAAAATATCTTTTTTTCTAAAAAATTGAGATAAATTATTTATAATATATTTTTAACCTTCGGATTATGTGTGCGTGCATGCATGCGTGTCGCGGTGCCGGGGATACTCTCATTTAAAAGTTATAAGAATCCAATCCATCATGTAAATTATATTATTATTTTAAAAAAGGAAAAATAATCATTTTTATAAATTTTATTCCAAAAACTAGACATAAAGAAAAATCAATTATATTTGTTAACAAATAAAATTTTATAAAATAAATAATAAAAAATTAATTGGATGATAATTTTCAAAAGAAATGATAATTTGAAGAAATAAATTTGAAATCATAAAAGTAATATAATTTCAAATATATGTTAAATCTAAAATCTAAAAACATATTGCATATATTTATTTCTCACTAGGCTATGAGAAAACCCTAAAAATAATGATAGATTATCCATGATTTTTGTATAAAATTTAAAAAAAAACAAAAGTTAAAAAATTACTATAGAGGAAAAAAAAAAAAAAAACAAGCTAGGTCCACATCCTTGGGCTTAGAGACTAAGCCTGCAAGGGTCAACTCCATTTTTTTTTTTTTTGGCAAAAAAAGACTAAGAGTCGCCGGTGCCATGCATAGTAGGCGACGTGTCGTTTTTCCGTAATATTTAAAGAGAAAATTTATCAAAAAATCAAGGGTACCATTTTTTGGCCTACTCGAATCTAATTTAAGCATCATTTTTGTCCCAAAATGCCACAAAATCACTTAAATAAGTTTAAGAAACTCATTTGAAATCTTAAATTTATTTTAATACATATAAAAATACAAATAAAATTCCAAAAAACTCAAAAAATATTTTGGAATCCTAATAGACTTTTTTTTTTAATTATTTTATGGCTTAGGGCTATCATAAACAAGCTCTTTCACCAAGATAAATAAATTGAAGTCAAAATCGACAATTAAAATGGTCAAAATGAATCTTGCATTGGCTTTTCTCTTTATTTCTCTCTCCTCTCTACATCTAATGACAACTACCATGTGAAAAAAATTTGAAAACTAAAACAAAATTTTTTGAAAAAAATTAAGGATTAAAGTGTAACATTTGTTAAAATTTGTATATCAAATTTTTTTAAAAAAAACTTGAAAATCACAATAATATCATTAATAAATAATGACTAAAAATTTAGATGAACAAGTCATTATCCTAAAAGGGTTTTCACCCTTCATTGATCAATACAAACCCTAAATATTTTAATTTTATTGTTAATTAAAAGGTTTTTGCTGGATTCGGCTCGATATTGAAATTGGCTAGCTATTATAATTAGGGGTGAGCAAATGGTTCGGTTAACCGAAAATCAAATACAACTAGACCGAATTATAGAATTTAGTTCGATTTTGAATTTTAAATTTTATCATTTATAACCGAACCAAAAAACCAAAATTTATTTCGGTTCGATTTTTGAAAAAAAATTCGATTCAAATCGAAAACCAAAATTTATTCTTAATTTCCAAATACCAAATCGACAAATCCCGTCGATGTACCGGCTTCTACGTGCGTGATTGCGTCTCTCACCCTCACTCGGATCTTGCTCTCTATCTCTCTCAACTCGGTCTCGCATCTCATTCTCACTATCTCGGTCTCACTCTCATCTCTCACTCTCTCAACTATCAAATCTCGGTCTCTTTTTCAGCCTTCGGGTTTCGACTTCATTCCCTTCTCCAGTTCTCCTCTTGTCCTCCACTCTCCGGTCTCCACTCCACTCCTTCAATGGCGAGTCCGGCCGGTCCTTCAACCTCCAAGCTCTAGGTTCTAGTTTACTCACCCGTCGTCGATCTCATAGAGTCACGCCTCACGGACTCATGGTCACCGTTATCCTTATCGG